CCCCAAAACCCCAAAACCCCAAAACCCCTTAAAGATTCAATATGGAGATAATTTAAAAAAATCAATATTATATATGTTTAGATATTTCAATCATATCTCAAATAGCATTATCATTAAATTAACCGAATGGATCATTATTTTGAAAATCGTTTTCATCAACTTCACTAATAATTTTGGAATTTGAGTCATATGTCCTAACGTAGCCACTAGGTTTATCTTAATTTTAGTTTTTTTCTTTACTCTCCTTTTCTACATTAATATCTGCAGGATTATTCTTTACATTTCTTCCTTGCTTTTTAGGAGCAACATCAATCCTTTTAGCTGAGTCTTCTTAATCCTATTTGAATTAGAGTTTTAATTCTTCTTAATCAGAATCAACTGATTGAGAAAGTTATTCTTTCTAATCTTCCTCTTTGACTTCTGAAATAATTCTTCCAAGTTGGTCTATGTTTCTCTTCATGTATGGTTTATCATAGAATTACTTATCGTTCTTTTATTGATTTAAATAAACTGGTTTTTCATTACTGTCATACGGCCCAAATTAAAGCTATCCGTTCATATCGATACTATTTTGCTATGGAAGTTAATCAACTATCTCGTCTATGATTTTATCTACATTCTTTTGAATATTAGGTGCTTCATCTTTGTCATACATCAAGTTGAGTGTTTACTTCTCCATCATTAGCTCCACTTTCTTTTTAGCATCTCCAGATTTACTATCTTATTTAATTTCCTCATTGAAAAACCTGGCAAAGATGTTTCTAAGCTTGGCTATTTCATCAAGATTTTGAACGTTATTTCCTAAACTCTTAATCCAGTCTTTCGAAGTTTTTTAATCTGTATCTTTGACCTGCTAAGCTAATTTGATGATAGGCTTTGAAATAAACCTCTCTGAAATAATAAGTAGTAGCAAGTTTGTGAGAAATACAAATGCTATTGCTGATGGGATAATCATTGCTAAATACTCATTCATTTCTGGTCTAATCAAATTAGTAATTTCATCCCTTTAGATTTAGTCTACTTCTTTATTTGAGGCTATAACTATCATATAATTATAATTCAATCTTTAACTTTCCGAATGAGAATAGTTATATGGACTGAAAACTCTAGTTACATAATACCCATATTCAGAAGGATACGTTTTCTTGAAGACATCTCCGTTAGGAGGATTAATCTGTCCATCTTTAATCGTTGTTTAATCGAAATCAGACTTGAGTTAGGTTAAATCATACGCATTATTTTTAACTCCATTTTAACTCATAATCAATTAATCTCCTGCTAGTGTATCCCCAACGCTGTAAACTAGAATTTAATAGAATTAGTAATTATTCTCAAGAACATTTGATTCTATGTTATCTTTTATCATTTCTTTTAAATTGTATTAGATTCCAAGAATAGCAATAACTTTATTTGATTTGTCTGTGATTGGGTACTATATTTGCAATCTACGGTTATCTACTGAGTTAGGCTCAAAAATATCTATTATATCTGGACTAATGATAAGGCTAGTAATATTTTTGAGAATTCCTGATACGCTGGTAAATAAAAAGCTATTATTATATTTCAATGGAGGGTAAGTGAATATGAACTAATCATTAGATGTAGAACCATCATCATAGATAACATACTACCTTTAAATCGAGAGATTATAGGTTCTTCCCATATAAATTTCTCTTTGATTTACCCACAAAGGATTCAAAGCATTTATTCTTTTGGGAATGTCTAAATTCTGTGTACTATTTTTGATCTAACCATTCACTCTGTTAAATGAAGCGTAGGACACAGTTTAGTTTAGTATGTTGTTTTAGAGAGCTTATTCATATGTCATGGGATTCTCATTCTACCAATTCAATGGATGAACAGGAAAATTTTTTAAAGCTGATAAATTAAATTTATTTAATAAGTATGGTTACTTAGTATTTCTGAAACCATGGCATTAACTTTCAAACCTATATTGTTTGCGTTGAGAAAAAAAAAGTTCATGCTACCAGCAATATTTCTATAGTAGCAAGTTCAATAAATTAAAAGAGACTAATAATAATTACTTACATGCTCATCTATAACTGTCTATCTTAGTTTAGAGTTGAATATTGGTCTTTAATTTAGTTAATGTTGTACTCAGCAAATACGTACAGGGCAAAAATGAGCAGCAAGCTGACAAAGAAAAGAAAAAATATGAAGAATGATAGTGAGGCGTATGCTAGAAGTTATCTAGACAACTTGAGATTTCTCCATTCATCTTTGCATCTACAGCTAAACAACAGAAATGGGATTTTTTTGCCAATACTCTTTCCTTGACCTTCTTTTTTACTCATTGAAAAGTATATTTTTATATAAATAATATCCAAGTTTTGCCTTGATTTATGTGATTGTTTGCACACGGGGTTTTGGGGTTTTGGGGTTTTGGGG